GCATGCCTGTGGTCCCAGCTACTCAGGAGGCTGAGGCAGGAGGATTGCTGGAGCCCAGGAGATCGAGGCTGCAGTGAGCTATGATCGTGCCACTGAGCTCCAGCCTGGGTGAAAGAGCAAGATCCTGCCTCTTTTTAAAAAGAAAGGAGAAAGAAAAAGTGACTGTGACTATTTCACATTGGGTCACATATCTTTGTTGCAAAAGTAAGGGTGTCTGCATCTTAAATATCAAAGTCAAGCTTCTTGGTTTCCCACGGTTAATTCTGAGAATGATGTCCAGAAGAATGCAACACAGGGAAGGCACAACTGCTTACTTCCCTGTAACCTGGGAGGTAGGGAGACGCAAAACAAAGGCAAGCCTTTTCTAGCCTTCAATCCTCTAACCTGCAATCACTTGTCTCTAAAACTTCTTGGTTTGGCTACCCTCCCTATCCATGTTTGTAGGTTCAGTTCTCTAAAGTATGCTCCAACCTTGCAAAGTGAGGCTAACATCAAGGCAGGCTTGAGTCTGCTGTCTGGCCCTTTTTCTCCAAGAATCAACACTGAAACTCAAAGGAAGGGGAGAGGGTTAACATAAAGAAAGTACTTTTCAAACACTAGCAAAGGGCTCTTGACCCTCTTTCTCTTTGGCACAAGTGCACACGCACATGCACATGCATGCACAGATGTCCAAGTCACATGACAGTGTCTTCCTGCCCTTTCAGTAGAGGATGAACATGAAGAATTGTTGAAGGAGAGCAAACGTGCTGGGTGCACCACAATGCAAACAACTTTGATCTGATTCACTGTGCACTGTTTTAGGGACTCTGACAAAAGTATGTCCAAGATTAATAATGGTTGCTGGGGTTGGCAGAAGTTCAAGAATCAGATATTATTCCTTCAATTTATAACAATCATCTCCCCACTTACCCTCAACTCCACCCTCATATGCCCCAATAAATATTTGCAATTTATGATGAAAATATCAAAGAAGGAGTGAACAAAAACATACTAGAAAGAATTGTTTCCTGACAGTTTATGGCCTGGAGATGAGAGAGAGAACAAACAACATAATGAATGCAATCAATCAACTAATCCTTATTATCACCCAATTCTAATATGAAAAATCCCATGAGCACCTGTTTTTCCTAATAAACCATGCTTTAGAATCTTTATCTTCACTCTGGTGAATGTAAGTTTTCTAACTAGAGTGACCCGTGTATCCTGGCCAGTCCACGACAGTCCTGGTTGCTTATTAACAATTAGTGATACTTGGCCAGCGCAGTGGCTCATGCCTGTAATCCCAGCACTTTGGGAGGCCAAGGCAGTCGGATCACCTGAGGTCAGGAGTTCAAGACCAGCCTGGCCAACATGGTGAAACTCAATCTCTACTAAAAATACAAAAATTAGCTGAGTGTGGTGGCACATGCCTGTAATTCCAGCTACCAGGGAGGCTGAGGCAGGAGAATCGTTTGAGTCTGGGAGGTGGAGGTTGCAGTGAGCAGAGATCTCGCCACTGCATTCAAGCCTGGGTGACAGAACAAGAGTCCGGGGAAAAAAAAAAAATTGGTGACACCTGTTGTCATCTGAGCCCGGGAAGTGGAGGTTGCAGTGAGCGGAGATCTCACCACTGCACTCAAGCCTGGGTGACAGAGTGAGACTCTGTGAAAAAAAACAAAAAAAGTGACACCTGTTGTCTGTGAATAATTTGCTAATAAGCACCTCTTGATTTAGACAGTAAGTGTCCTGTTTGGACAATAAATTATATGGTCACCCTAACTGTAGATAAACTGTGAGAGGCAATCAGGTGTCTATTTTCATGTTTGTAGTGCTGTCCAGTTTTTATGCTGTCCATTCTTCCAGTCCTCAAAACAATCAAATGGCCTCGGCAGAATCTGATGCTGTTGTGCATCCAGGCTTTTTAGCAGAGGCTGACATTTGGCTTTCTCTTTGAGGGCCTAAAGTTGACAGCACTAAGACCAGCCTTGCAAAGATCACTTTGCCCCAGTATATTTATGTTTCTTCCCTGGTATCAACTTATGGAAAGGTAGAGGTGGTAGGGTCTTCAAGAAGTTTTCAGATTTCATTTGGGGGAGGGGAGTGGCAGTGAAGGAGCAGCGGAACCCTTTTCCCCTTGAAATCTTGCTCAGATCCCCACTGTGTGAAGTCAAAGAAAGCAAAGACTCTCTGGTGGAACTGGGAGGTAAAGGCACAATTGCACAGTCTCACCCACAGAAGACTTCTTTCTCCGTTGCTTCTGCTCAAGGAATCCCCTAAAGCTAGATCCTGCTCAAGAACAGAGTCTATCGGCCAGGCGTGGTGGCTCTCACTTGTAATCCCAGCACT